ACTGCAGCTGGGGTATACCCCCAGCGGACTGACTGGACTGGACTGGACCGGACTGGCCTGGTACCGACAGTGGTACCGGGCAGGACTGGACTGGACTGAATAACCGCACGGCCTGTGGGGTCAGGCCACGGCCTGGTCCCACAGGCCGGACTGGCAAATAGCCAAATAGGCCCTGGCTGTGGGCCAGGGCAGATGAAGGCCCGCTGCACTGGTTCAATGGTGGGACCAGCTCGACAGGATAGTTCTGAAAATCAATACGAGAACTTGCGACTACCGCGTCATCCTCGGATGTGAGAGAGATTGCTAGCAAGGCAGTCGAGTCCGACGGATTGGGAAGTGATGTCGCTGCACTTCCCGTGGTGCTCAGTTTCTCGAGCTTGGACGATTGACATTTTCCTTGTCCTTGTCGAGGCATGCGCTGGTGATGTGTTTGGTGCTGTTGCACCACAAACAACATCCCCATTTCTGTCTCAACTTGAACATGTCTTCGGTAATACTGAACTTCGTCCATGGTGACTGTCGTGCTCCATCCGCTGACGTTGATTTCGCCTTATGTTTTCCCTCTCGGGGTCTTGAGCGTTGCGGTGGTATCGCTGCCGCCACATCTCCCTCACTTGATGTAGACGCGGCTGCGTGGTCCTCACTAGGTGCATTCCAACGAAACGGCCATGCGAGTCATGAAAGCCTGCGCCCCTCAAATGAGTTGGAGGTAGAGTGCGTCAAGCCGCCGTTCGGGTAGGACGTGATGTATGTCTGCCTCCGCGTTGAATGCCATCCACCACTGCAGCGGATCGGTTTTGTGGTAATCATCGAACTTCTCAATCTTGAAGCTCGACATCTTCCATTCCTTGGCGACAGCGGCCGGTTGTTGTTGAACGCGGTCGCTGAGCATCTGCAGCTGATTGCTGACTGTCGATGCTCCAGCAAACTTGCTGATGTCGCCGAGGGATGCTACCACGTGGTTGATCCGCTCCTCGAGTTGCTTGGCCTGCACGGCCAAAGTTGGGCTCCAGTCTGCCACTGCACTGCCCGTCGACGCAACTGCCGACATTCGTGCCAACCCCGTGCTGACATCGGTCTGCAGCTGGCCGTTGATTGTCTGCTGCTTGCTGTTGGCGGCCTGTAGTGTGCCGATCTCGGCCTGCAGGGTGGCGATCTTCTTGTCCAGTGTTTTAAACGTTGCTTCGTGGCGGATGAAGACCTGCCGCATGGCCAGCAGTTCACGTTGCTGCCAATTGCATGTGTACAACAGATTCTCCATCAAAACTGTTGTGGCCTCCTTGTGTCTCTTGTCCTGGATCGGCTCCTCTTGTTCTTCGTTTGCTCGAAAATGCTGCTGTCCGAGTAACCTCCGGTACGTGGCTTCTTCGTTGGCGAGCTCCATTGTAGCTTGGTAACGAACTTGATTTTGACTTGCCTCGACCTGCTGCTGTTGCAATCATGCGGCTTCTGCAGCTTCTACTGTGGCCTGCTGACGTGCTGCCTCTGCCTCTGCCAGCTGGCGTTGGATTGCCTGCTGGCAGGCGGCTTCCTCCTCTTCCCACTTGCTCAGTTCAGCTGCAGTGGTCTCCGAGTAGAGCTGGAGACGTTCGAGAAACGCTAGTTGCGTTTCGTCTGCCTGCCGAACTGGTCCGAGGGGTCTTAGGTCCCTGTTGGGGCTTGGCTCCTGCGGATCCGCGCTCAGCAAGCCGTTGACTGCGGCGCATCGAGTACTCCGGCCTTCGTCTGCTGCTGACGTGTCACCACTGAGGTGGCACCTGCTGATGTGGCACTTCTGAGGTGGCCGCTGCTGATTTGGCACTCGGCTGTTGTGGCACTCTGAGGTGGCACGCGGCTGATGTGGCAATCTGCGTTCGTGGCCTGCTGCTTCTGTGGCACAATGCTGACGTGGCGGGAGACTGCAGTCCGCAGTACCGAGAGAAGGAGAGAGAGAAGGGAGGGGTGGAAGAAGGGAAGAGAGGCAAACAATGCACAGACAGTCCCTTTCTTCCCTGACCTCGAAGCTTGACACTAATCAAGAGAAGAAAAAAAAAAATACACCCCCCCCACGAAAATTTTGAAATTTGAGAAATTAATATTTAATTATTTAATTAAATATATTTTAATCAGAAAATACGAGTTGATCAAACCCTTGCTGATCCCTGAAGGACCAGGTCAGAGTGTGTCCATGGATTTCATGGATACCCTTGTGACCAGCAGGACAGGAAAGAGACACATCTTTGTCATAGTGGACCGTTTTACCAAGTACGCCAGACTAATCGCTATGCCAGAAACTGCTAAGACTGACTTTGTCATCAAACTATTCATGGACAATTGGGTAAGGGACTTCGGTTTACCTATGTCTATTGTTAGTGATAGGGATGTAAGGTTTACAAGTGAACTGTGGCAGTCTGTTGCTGAGCAAATGGGCACAAAGCTCCAAATGACGTCAGGGAATCACCCTGAGTCAACTGACCAGGCAGAACAGATGAACCGGGTAGTGCAGCACCTGCTTAGGCATTATATTAAGCCAAGTCAGGATGACTGGGACGAGAAGTYACCTCTCGTCGCCAGCCTGTACAACAATGYTGTRCACARYACCACHGRTATGACTCCCAACCAGYTACATCTTGGTTGGAAGCCCAGATCTGCGCTTGACTTTCTGCTACCAGAAAGACAACCCACTGCAGCACCTGGCAGCATAGAGTTTGCTGTCAAGTATGAGCAGATGCTGYAGCAGGCCGTTGAACRTATTCAGAAGTCTCAAGATGCTATGATTGCATCTGAGAACARACATAGACGGCCTTCTAACTTTCAGGTAGGTGAGAGAGTCTGGGTGAAATCATCTGAACTGGGACAGGAGATAGGGATCTCAAGAAAACTGATGCCTCAGTACTTTGGGCCCTGGGAGATCTTAGATATTGTAGGAGATCAACCGGATGGGCCTTCATACGTGATTCGCATCCCTGCACACTTACAGACTTATCCTGTTTTCCATGCCTCCAAGCTGGCACCTTTTGCTGCCACAGACCTGTTTCCCTCTCGGAGATCGATGCTGCCCCCAACCATGGATGGCGAAGTGGATATCGACCAGATCGTCGAGCATCAAGTGATGCTTGTTCCTCGACCATCAGGCAAAGGGCGACCTCCTAAACCGAGAATGCAGTATCGTGTGAGCTTCAGACATCATCTGGATCCTAAAGAAGACAGGTGGTTCACACGAGAAGAACTCATGAGAACAGCACCTCAAGTCATCGCAGGCTATGAAAGAACACTCAAGGGGAAGATGCCTGCAGAATGAGAGACTTCTCAGAGGACTCACGAAGTAAAGGAGGAGGGAATTCGAGGATCAGGGTCCTCGGTAGGCCTATGGGGCCCTGTTTGCAGCCTTACCCGCCCTAAGTGAAGGCGGAGGTGCCCGCCCTAAGTGAAGGCGGGCCTGGCTTTTTGCGAGAGGCCCTCGACTGTCAATTTCATATTTGGGGTCCAGGCAGTTGCGACGCGCCAGTTGGTTGAAAGAAACACAGGCCGAGCACCAGAGACATTTCCACGGCCTACCGGGCCTTTCCAAAGAATGCAGGCCCTGGGCGTGATTCGCAGCCTCATACAGAGAC